CTAAATTGAATGTGTACATGAATCACCTGGGCATCTTGTTAAAGTGCAGAATCCAATTCAGTAGGTCTGATATCTGAGATTCTGTATTCCTCATGAGTCCCTAGGTATTGCTGAAGCTGCTGGTCTGAGGACCACCCCTTTCTCCCTGTAAGCATTACATTCTTTGATCTCCACCTACTCTCTTTCTATCCCTTGTAATTTAACTCCAGCCATTTGTAGACCCCACTATAACCACAGTCCACTGATTCTACTAATATCTATCACCTCCCTCCTAGATCTGCTTTCCTAGTTATCCCACTTAGATTCCATGATCTCTCAATAATCATTCCTTTGCACCCACTCTCACATTCTTTGCTTCTTTCTCTTTCATTGTTAGATCCATCTGCATAACCTGCCTCTCCCCCCTCCACATATTCTATGCAGAAGCAGGTAGCTGAGGAGCACAGCCGCTGTGCTACAGGTCCCCCTTTCATCTCAGTGGATTCCTAAGACTGCTGCTTCCTTGTCCATTCACCCTTCTCTCCCAGAGGACTTCATGCTCTCTCCTCAAACTTCAGATGCCCCCTCTCCATCTTTGTTCTCAGCTGGGAACCTTGCTTTGTATCCTGACTTAGAGAAGAGCTTCCTCCTGTTGTCTCTTCTGGATCTGCCAGTGTGTCTGTTCTGTGCACGTGATCAGCCGGGTTGTTTCCTGCAGTGGCCATGGAAACACTGGGCACACTCTGACTCAGGATGGGCACACAGAGGGGCTAGCATATCCAGCCCCTCTCCAGCCTGCCTCCCCAACCTTTACAGGTCTCTGCTCAACCAGCATTTTCTCAGAGTTGTGAGTTTTTTTTAGCTCCCCTACTTAAAGGACAGTCCTTAGCCCCCACTGGCTTCCATTGTTTCTTCAGCGTCTTTTGCACTACATCAGCCCAATGACTGGTGTCTCCCACCTCCACTTGAAAGCTCCGTGAGGACTGGGAATTTTGTCTGTCTTGGTCAACACTGAAGCCCCACCTACCATAGTATCTGGCACATGAAGACTCTCTTTAAATAACTTTTTAAAATAGAGTGGGAAATGTGATTATATAGAATCAGAAAAGGGTAGTTAGGAAAAATTATCTGCCAATACATGGTTTGAAATACCACTCTGGTCCTTTTTGAATAGATAAGAATCCCTATTTGGGAAGACCTTTGGACCCGAATGTGCTAAATTTAACAGAGATCTTTAAGCCTACCCAGCCTGCCAGAGATCAGGAGGGAGAATGACCAATGTCAGATTCTGTCCAAGAATTGCTGTCCCTTGTTTCATTTAAGGCTTTCAAGGAACTTGGTAGTTTAAGTCAGGATGTAATGAGCCCACTCAGCTCTAGGCTGGGAAGTGTGATTATGTCACTAGGACACTGGCAAAGAGCTGCACCACTTGGCATTAACGACAATTCCTCCAGCTACATATGCCTACATTACTATGGTTGTAAGAACACAGATATTTTGGCCATGTCTATGGCTCCATGTGGGCCTGCCATGATGACGACAATCACATGGCTTTAAATTGGTGGCAGAAATATCTTAAGACACAAAAACAGATGTGCTCCCCGTGAGTATGTGCTGTGCTGATCATTCTAAAGGACAAGAAGTTTGTGTTTAGTCCACTGAAAGTGAAGGAAAGGCATAGCAATGTCTATGTGAAATCCTAGCAATATTCATTATTCTTGTGACTTTCCTAACACTGTCAGCATGCACTAACTCATTGCCTCTCAAGGTCTGGGGCAACTTTGATGAGAAGAGCACAGGCTTTTTGTGAATATTGTATAAGATGAATGACCTCACACAGGGTGGAGAATACCACCCACGCTGTTGTCTTTCTGCCTATATCAGGTTTGGATATTATTGTGTTTTAGCACATCATTATTTTGGGGTTTTCCATAGGGTGCATGCACTCACCAAAGAGAGACAGAGAAGATAAGGGGGAAATCACTCCCCAGGGGAGATAGCCACTCCACAGTCCCTTCTCTTCCATCCTCCTCCTGGGATTTTGGACACACGTGCACATGCACCTGTAGTTATTTTTGAGCCGCCAGGTTCAGGACTCAAAGTGTGATTGGCCATGTGGGAGTCCAGCACCTTAACCACTATACCACCTACTGGTCCCAACACATCATTCAGTTTAGACCAAGAAGATTCTCAACTTAGGGTAAATTTGTTCCTCAGAGGACATTTGTCAAAGTCTATAGATATTTTTGGTTGTCACAGTTCAGCAAGAGGGATGCTGGCTAGCCCTTCAGAACAAAGACGTACAGCCCCGAATACCAGCACGGCCAAGGTTGAAGTCTTCCGTTTTGAGCATAAACTTTCTACAGGGGGTTACAGTTTATTTGTTCCCTAGACTTTAATAAAGGAAGGAGAAACTGATGTTCCATAGATGTTGTTGGGGTGATCTGGAAGACTCACTTCCTGGGAAAGGCTCCACCTACCCTTTATAAGCAAACTACAGTTTCCAGCTGAACAATAAGTTGTATATTAGATATTCATTTCCACATTCATTGTTTAGCCTCTTAAAAAAAAAAAGAACAAGAAAAAGGAGACTAAAAAGAAAATAAACATGGCTGAGGCAGGGAGAACTCAGGATGGCATATGAGGATGATGAAAGCTGACACTGGATAGGTTGGCAGATGCAGTGACAGAAGATTATCAGATCATTCCAGGGGGCAGGATTTCTCCAGAACCAAATCATCTTATCTTTTCTTTTCTTTCTCTTTTTCTTTCTTTCTTTCTTTCTTTCTTTCTTTCTTTCTTTCTTTCTTTCTTTCTTTCTTTCTTTCTTTCTTTCTTTCTTTTTCAATACTGTATTCATAACCTACACATCCTTCTCCCATTAACTTAGGTCTTACCATCCTGTCTTCATGTGCTCTTGCTACGTGGCACAGAAGTTTGTCAGTATCTACTGTACAGATGTAGCAGTATTTTAGACACCACTGACAGCATCTCAAAATAGTTACTTCTTCACTTTCGAACAGGTGCCGTTTCTAAACACCAGTTTCTGATGCGGTTGTGCAGAGCTTGCAATGCATCTTCCTGGTTTTACAAATGATGGGTTTTCAGACTGGTGTGGAAACTTTCCAGAACCCACAGTGTTTCTGAGCTGCAATACTTTGTAGTTCAGGATGGGGGATTTCCCAGCCAAAGGCCAAGAGGAGAGAATTTCCATTGCCTTTCTTTTTTCTAAGCAGACTCTTGGAAATTGTGATTTTTACCATTTTCCTGCTTCTGGAGTATAACTTGCTATCATTTACTATGTGCTTTTCTCTTGTTGTCATATCCAAGAGGTACTTAGGCCACTGGGCAGGGGACCTGTGAGGCAGGAGGAGGGTTGTCATGGAGGCTACTGTGCCATCTGACACTGCCAGCTCATGGAGAGACCATTTCCTTATGTGTCATCAGCTTTTTTCTTTCTCTTTAGTCTTCCTAGCATTGCTTTACTTTTCATTGTTAAAACAAAAAGAAAGAAGGAAAGCTCTTCCTCTTCTATTGCAAACTTTGTCAAAACAAGAAAAAAGAGAGGGAATATTGGTTTACTTTAGTGGGTATTTCTTATGAGGAAATTTTATTACTTGGACATTCTTTCACTATCCATGCTTTTTACTCCCAGCTAGCATATTTTAAGATATCTGCTTAGATTCACAGTTCTACAAAAACAGAATCTGAGATTACATTCCTTAAATTTGAATCACACTTTCTCTTAGAAGAAGCAATTTTCATAAGTGATCCAGGTTTTTTTAAGCATAAAAACTATGCTAACAAAAAATTACAGCATATTTCAAGATGAAGGCATAAAATAGTGTGGCTAAGTCTATTTTTTCATTTTAATTTACATTTAATCACTATATGTCTTTACAGTATACAACGTTGCTTTTTCCAGCATGAATACCAGGCGTATCAGCCAAGATAAAGACGTTACTATATCTATTATCATCAGCAAAGAATTCTTCATTTTTTTTTGTCAATTAAATGTATTTTTTTCTTCCCCTGTTCCCCTCCCTTCTTCCCTCTATTACCCAAACCTGTATGGCCCCCATCCGTACTATCTCTAGTATCTACGATCCCCTTCCGGCTACTATGCATTCCAAACTTTCAATTTCTGCTATAGAGCGCAAATATTTGGTATATATTGAGGGGAGACATACAAAGTCTGTCTTTCGTAGTCTGGCTTACTTCGCTTAGCATTAAGTCTTCCATATTCATCCACTTTGTATCAAATGTCAGGGTCTCATTGTTTTTTATGACTGAGAAGTATTCTGCAGAGTACATATGCCACATTTTTTCAATCCACTCATCTATTTTTGGATATTTAGGTTGATTATTTAGGTTGATTCCATGTCCTAACAGTTGTAAGTAATACTGCAATAAACATGGATATGCAAGCATTTTCCAACTGAGGATTTTTTTATCCTTTGGGTGTGTGGCTAAATCTATTATAACAATTATCACATGGTCCTGTTCAATTATGTTTCACCAGCTTTTTATCTGACAAGGCTGTTCTCTTCTGGAGTCAAACAACTGTTTTTGTTTTTATTTGAATTCATGACTTTGAACAACTCAAAGGGTCCATGTCAGAGGTGTACGAGTTCGAGGTGTGTGGTTGCAACATGGGTGATAATGCATAGCTACCATCAGAACTTGCGAAAAAGAGGTGGAAGGAGACAATGAGTAGAAACAAAACATGGACATAATCGATTATTATACACAATAATCTATTTTTCCTACATGTATACAATTTGTGGTAATATGTAGGTTCATGACTATTTAAAAAACAAAATTTTGGTTATTAATATTCTTTTTTCTAAGTATTAAAATGCTAAGGGTAGTTACACAAGGAGTTGTCAGTTGCTTCCTTTATGTCTCAAAAACTAAATAAGAAAATGAAAAGATCTCTTTTTACTCTTAGTTGTTGCAGTTTTAGCCCACAGTTTTAGTTCAGAATTTTGAAATTGTTTCCCCTTGCATTTCCTTTCCAGAAAACACGAGGTCGTTCTCTTATTTCAGCAGCTGGGCACAACTTCAGAGCTGGGAAAGGGTGATTTCAAGGTATTTATTTATCTGGTTTTGTATACAGGCGTGAATAATCTGTTTGAGTTGCAGGTCTCCAGATACCCAGCGTTAAAGCTGGAAAGCCTCAAACTTACAGGCTCATGTGGTGTTGAACTTGGCACCAAAGGTCTTCTGCCACAGAGACCACAACAGTAGTAGGTGTGCTTCCTTCGAGGTAGTTTCCCTTTGGCCAATGAGCTCAACCCTAGTCCTACCTTGCAATGCCTCTGTGAAATTGGTCAGTGCTCACCCCCTCTCCAGCTCTTTCCTTGTCTTTGAGATGGGGATAATAATTAGTTCATGCTCGATGGAGAGGTTAGTAGAACCCACAATGCTCACTCTCACCACCATCATCAAACTCTATGAGGCTGTGTTAGCTGCCATCATTCTTAGTACTTATATTGGGTACATCGATAGTTACTTAATGACCCTGGTCATCATCTGTGACCAGAACCAAGTTCAGGGAAAAAAAATAATCTAACCTAAAAGAATGACAAGTTTACACAAAGACACTCTCTATTTAATCTTACCAATTAGTTTACGAAAGGTTATCAATTTTTATAATGAATCCTAGACTTTGAACTGCTATGTCTACACATTTAAAAAATATACAGACCCTGGTGCTGTAGCCTGCCTGACCCATAGCCACTGTACATCATTATCCAATTTCTCAATGGTCCAGAAAGGAAAGAGTACATCTGGACTGAATTACCCCAATCTTCTCACAGAGGGAATCTTGTAAAACAGGCCACTGTCTTTTAATTAAGTCTTTCCTTCAACTAGTTGAGAAATTCTCTTGCAGAGTAACCCTTTCCTCTCAGAACAGGGTGTTGGGGTCATTTGGATTCCCCCCTGAGGCCAGAGGTCTTTCTAAATATAACTGCAGATTCTGGACAACAGTCTGCCTTTGTTAGTTAACATAGGCTAAGGAATCAGTGCATTAAAAGCTTTGATTATCCACACTCCAAAATGCCTTCCTCTGATCTTGCAGCATTTGACAAGAATCTTGATTCAGGGATCAAATATTGTCTTTTCTAATGCACTTCCATTTCCACTAGACCTGCTTGCCTTAACACATTTTATTTGGGGCCTGACATGCTAAGCATCTTCCAGTTAGGGGGTAATTAAGATTTAACTCAAGAATCTATTTATTTTAGAATAGGTATCTGATGCCCCCGTAATGGAATCATAGTCATCCTCTGTGTCTAAAAACCGTGTTTTAGTGCTTTTTTGCACATAGATGACTGCTTACGTTTTATCATCAAGGAAAATGTCTGCCTTTTAAACTATCTTTATTTGGGACTAGCAGGTGCCATAGTGGTTATGGCACTGGACATGGTCGACCATGGTTCAAATCCCAGACCCGGCAGCTTGAAACTTATCCCAGGCACATGTGCGAGTGTACTCAAAACCCCAAGAGGATAACGGAGGAGAAGGGACTGTGGTGTGACCATTCCCCCAATGGCGATTTCTTGCTGTCTGTCTCTCTGGTGAGTGCATGCACCCCATAGCAAAAATCTCTCAAGAAAAACTTCATTTAACCCAAATTTCCAGTATACTCTCTGCCAAACTCCTGTCCCGATGTTTTGGTGATCTTCATTGGTACATTCTAAGCTCTCAAAACAGAGAGGTATGCAGTGAAGGTGTCTCCCTCACTCCCTCCTCCTCTGCTTACAACAGGCTCCTCTCCTGGAATTAGCATTTCAATTACTGGCATCCTTGTCGACCCAGTAACTCAAGCCAGAAATCTCTATCCCATCATTGCCCCGCCCTTCTCATTCAGTCTGCACCAGGTTCTAGATTTGGAATGAAAGTTCTAAAGACAGTGATTGGTGTCTGATGAGGTCAGAAACTATCTGGCTGCTGTCACAAATGTTCATTGTAAATAGCTCCCTCTCCTCTGCCTCCCAGGGTCACTAATTTACTTCTGGCCATTTAGTTCTGATCCATTGCTGGAGCTAATTAACAGCGCTCTCTTCCAGCAGACTATGCCCACTCCAGATACCCTGCTCCCAAGTCTGTACCGTCATTTCCCACACAGTGCCTTCTGCAGGCCCTTATAACTGTTAGGTTAAGAAAGTTAAGGTTTGCTCCCCATGGCAGCAAAGAACAGAAGGACAAGGAGACAAGCCCAACACGAGGTTTGCTGAGATAGAGATGGGGTCCATAGACTGAACGGGCCAGTGTCAAGAAGGCAAATAGGCTGAGAGGGAGGCTCCATAGACAGAGCTGGCCAGTGCCAAATGGCCCCATCTCCTTTTACCCTGTTTAGACCCTTTGTCCTTCTGAAGTATGTCTCCTCAGACTGCCTCTGGCCTGTTAAATTTTCTTTTCGCTTGTTCCTCATTCTCGTTTCTTGCTGGTCTCGTGCTGCAAGGAGTTGTTTAGAGTCAAAATACAGATGGCCAAATAGTCCCTCCTACAGTTTCGTTGTGCTTCAGGCTAGTTCCCTGATCTATATCCGCTCAACCAAGGTTTCATCCCTCGCAGCTTCATTACAGCCTTCAGACTAGATCCAAACGCCTTGGTGTGGACCCCCAGGTTCCAGAAAACATTGTTTGGTGCTTTGGGCACCCTTCCAATGAGGTGTTTCCCTTCCCCTACTTTTCAATCTCTGTTTCATTAGGACTGAATTTCTCAGGCTGTTCGGACCTGTCATGCCCTCTTCAGGAACACTTGCCTTCGCACAAGGTGTTCTTATTCCTGAGAATGCCCTTCTCCCTTGTCTCTTGTTAAATTTCAGTTGCATCTTTAAGAGTATGTCAATTTCTATCTCCTCTGAGAAGCCCTTCCCGATTTCCCCAGGAGTAGCTGGGCTTTCACAGTTCCTCAAATGAACTTCTAATCACACTGAATGGTAATAATCCACTTACATTTCTGCCCCTCCTGTAGAGGCTAAGCGTGCAGACAAGGTTGGGATCTTATTTCTGTACTGCAACAGCTCATCAATGCCTGGCACAGAGAAACACACAGTGGAAGCTCTCATATCTTTAAATGGATATATCTCTGACACGGTAATAAAGAGAAAGATAGTATTCATGAGAAGTAATTGACCTCAAGCTGTGCTGCCTTTTCTCACTAAATACAAGCATTTTCCTCAACCATAATGCTTTGCTTTCTATTTTGCTTTTAGTATCCATGTCTTAAAAAAGAGCCACCCAAAGCAATTGATAATGCCTTTCGCTCTTCTGTGAACATCAGTTCTAAGCCGGTAGTGACTAGGCACTTGTAAACGTGTCATTTTTACCTTGGAATTGACTCAGCCAATATCCTCACCAAGTTCATTAATGGCAGTGGCTACTTCCATGTTGTTTCAAATTGAGGTTCAAATTGTATATTTATTTATTTATTTATGTAGTTTTTGCCACAGGGAGCATGTACTCGTCGGAGAGAGACAGAGATGGGGAAGGTGAGAAATCACTCAATTGGTATGGCCATGTCACTATCCCTTCTCCTCCATTCTCCGCTAGGAATTTTAGACACACATGTATGCCTGCTCAGTGTGATTGCCAACTGCCAGGTCTGGAACTTGAACCATGGTAAGCCATGTAGGAATCCACCTCCTTAACCACCATGTCACTTGCTGGTCCTGAGATTCAAAATTTAAAAGGCTCAACCTATGTTCAGACTCCTAACATGCCTGTGATTTTGAAAAGTTTATTTCCAGGACCAGCAGTTGGCGTAATAGCTAGTCGCTGGATTCACATGTAGTCGACCACTGTTCGATTCCCGGACCTGGTGGCTTAAACTCCCACCAGGTGTGTGTGCATGCATGCCCAAGATCCCGAGAAGAGAATGGAGGAGAAGGGATTGTGGCATGGCCCAATCACCCCCACTGGGGGGTGATTTCTAGCTTTCTTTCTCTCTGTCTCTCTCTTTCTGGTGAGCACATGCACCCTATATCAAAAACCTCTCAAAAAAAAAAAAGTTTCTTATTTCCAAAGTTCTTTCCAGTTATTAGAAAACAGGCAATCAGAGCACAGACAGGATCAGCCGCTCTCCAGTGAGGCATGAGCTCTTAATCCAAACGAACAAATAAGTATGTTTCTTGAGAAGACCGCAGTTAACACAATTAGTGAAGAACACATCTTTGGGCTAGAGAAAAATAATGGAACTCATTTTTAATTCAAACCAGTTCTAAAAGAGCCTTGGCTTTCTGGAGTGGCTTTATAATCAAGGTTACTGTAGGGCATGTCAGAACTTTTAACAACTGTCTCCACTGTCACTAGGCTTAGGTTGTAAGGTTATTCCAGAGCGAGGAAGTGATTTTAGCTAGCTTTTGTCTTTTGTTTGATCTTTGGCTCACAAAGATGAAGTTAATTTCACTATAAGGTGTTAGCTTACTTTTTACATCAATCCATTTTAATAGCATTGTGTTTGCGTCCTGAAAAAACACTCAAGAATGGTAAGAAAGAGTTGGCCTGGAATATAAATAAATGTAATATAAATTGTAACTTAGTCTAGGCCAGTAGTCAACAACATACATTGCAATCCTTCTAACTAATCTTATTGTTTTCTTCTTTTTGCTATCCTCTTCAACATTTACAATGTGTGTATTTTCTGAATTATACAAGAAATATATATATATATTCACTATAGATAGTTGGAAAGTACAAAACTTCCAAGGAAGACAAACACATTTCTTTGGAGTACATTACCCAAAAAGAGCAATTGCCACCTAGCCTTGCAGAGTTTTCCCCAAGCAAATCTACATACCTTTAAACTAATTATGATGAAAAATTTTACCTACACAGGAGAGAATTTTACAGTGAGTCCTCATGTACTGTCAGTCTAGATTCATGAATTATCAAGATTTCACCACAATGGCTACACTAATCTCTTTTTTTCTTTAATTATTTTTAATTTAACTTTATTTATTTACTTATTTTAATTTGACCAGAGAGGAACAGAGCCAGAGTGAGAGCAAGAGAGATAGAGACAGAGAGAGAGAGAGAGAGAGAAAGTAAGAAAGTAAGCTGCCAGGTCTGGGACTTGAA